AGAAGAGTGAGAAGAGGGAGAAGAGGGAGAAGAGGGAGAAGAGGGAGCAGAGGGAGAAGAGGGAGCAGAGGGAGAAGAGGGAGAAGAGGGGGAAGAGGGGGAAGAGGGAGAAGAGGGAGAAGAGGGAGAGAGGGAGAAGACGGACAAGACGGAGAAGAGGGAGGAGAGGGAGGAGAGGGAGGAGAGGGAGGAGAAGGAGGAGAAGGAGGAGAGGGAGGAGGGAGGGAGAGAGAGAGAGAGAGAGGAGGGAGGGAGGGGGAGAGAGAGAGAGAGAGGAGGGAGAGAGAGACAGAGAGAGAGACAGAGAGACAGAGAGTCAGAGAGACAGAGAGTTAGAGAGGCAGAGACAGAGACAGACGGAAAGACTCTCTCTCTCTCTCCCTGCTCTCTCCCTCTTCTCTCTCCTCTCTCTTCTCTCCCTCTTCTCTCTTTGCCTGAGAGAGAAGAAGAAGAAGAATAAGAAAAGAAGAGAAGAAGAGAAGAGAGAAGAGAAGAAGAGATGAGAAGAGAAGAGAAAAGAAGAGAAGAGAAGAGACGAGACGAGACGAGACTAGACGAGACGAGACGAGAGGAGAGGAGAGAGAGAGAGAGAAGGAGAGAAAGAGAGAAGGAGAGAAGGAGAGAAGAGAGAGAAAGAGAGAGAAGAGAGAGAGAGAGAGAGAAGAAAGAGAGAGAGAGAGAAGAAAGAGAAGCGAGAGACAGAGAGAGACGGAGAGAGAAGAGAGAAGAGAGAGACAGAGAGAGAGAGAGAGAGAAGAGAGAGAGAAGAGAGAGAGAAGAGAGAGAGAGAGAGAAGAGAGAGAGAGAGAGAAGAGAGAGAGAGAGAGAGAAGGAACAGAGAGAGAAGGAAGAGAGAGAAAGGAGAGAGAGAGAGAGAAGGAACAGAGAGAGAGAGAGAGAAGGAGAGAAAAAGCAAGATGGAACCCACGAACCCGAATGCAAACACGTACTCGAAAACAAACGCTCAAACATGTTTTGACACACTTGTAGGAAGCACTTTTGTGGGACACTCTTGTAGGACCCATTCTTTTCGGAAACTTTTGTGGGACACTCTTGTGCACTCTTGTGGGGCACTCTTGCGGAACACTCTTGTTGGACACTCTTGCGAAACACTCTTGTAGGACACGCTTGTGGGACACTCATGCGCGACACTCTTGTATGTCACTCTTGTCAGACACTCTTGTGGGACACTCTTGTCTGTCACTCTTGCGGGACATTCTCGTAGGACACTCTTGTCGGTCACTCTTGTGGGACACTCTTGCAGGACACTCTTGTGGGACACTCTAGTAGGACACTCTTGTGGGACGCTTTTGTGGGACATTCTTGTGGGGCACTCTTAGGATACTCTTGTGAAACACTTCAAGTCTGCAAAACGATTGTTTCGTACGAGACTTCCTCCAAAATTCACGCGTCAGTCCTCCAAAACTTCGCGCGAGATTTCCTCAAAAACTCACACGTCGAGTCTGCAAAACGAGCGTTTCGTACGAGACTTCCTCCAAAAGTGAAGCGCCAAGTCTCCAAAACGAGCGTTTCGTACGAGACTTCCTCCAAAAGTCACGCGTCAAGTCTCCAAAACGAGCGCTTCGCACGAGACTTCCTCCAAAAGTCACGCGTCAAGTCTCCAAAACAAACGTTTCGTACGAGACTTCCTCCAAACGTCACATGTCAAAGTTTCCAAAACGAGCATTTCGTACGAGAATTCCTCCAAAAGTCAAGCGGGCATCCCCATCGGAGCACACACACCAAGCAGCCCTGCCAAGCAGTTTTGCCATTCCAGTTCCTCCAAACAACACCCTTCCACATTCGGTTGCCCGCGACCGGGCCAAAACGCACTCTCGCCTGCATTTCGCGCCCTCGACGCGCACGATCTCCGCAGAGGGTTGCGTTTCGCGGTGCTCCGGCGGCACCGCCCCCGGCCTTTAGAGAGAAAGTAAAGAAGAGCGAGAGGTGAAGATGTGAGATGTAGATGTGAGGATGCGAAGATGAGCAGAGATGTAGATGTGCAGATGTGAACGTGAGCAGAGATGTAGATGTGTGAAGATGAAGATGAGCAGAGATGTAGATGTGAGGATGTGAAGATGAGCAGAGATGTAGATGTGCAGATGTGAATGTAGATGTGAAGATGAGCAAAGATATAGGTGAGAATGTAGATGTGATGTAGATGTGAGGATGTGAAGATGTGCAGATGTGAATGTACATGTGAAGATGAGCAGAGATATAGGTGAGAATGTGGATGCGCAGAGGTGAAGATGTGAAGGTGTAGATGAGACGTAGTTCTGCAGATGTTTTTTACGAAGAACCCTTCGCAGACGCTCTCGGGCAAAAGGTTGTACATTGGAATTTTGCGATTGCAAAAATCTTATTATAATCAAATTTGATCAAATCTGATCAACATGCATTTGATCAGTTTGATCAAAACTGATCAAAATATAACTTTTTAGAACCCACCCACCATATTCAAAAACACCCTTGGTAAAAGGGAACAAAAAGGTTATGAAGTCAAGCCTCAAGATGAGCCATTTGCAGAAGCTTGGGAAAATGTCATTGGCAGCGAGTGAAAAAGCCAGCGAAGGTGCAGAGACAGCAGAGGAGGCAGATACCAATCTCAAGAACACGATGGAAAAGCAATGCAAGAGCGTAGCAGGGTTTGGTCAAAATACCAAACAGCGCTCAAAGGCAAAAGAAAAAAGGAACAGAAGGAGACGAGTTTGAAAAGAAAGTGAAGGTTGAGAAAGGCTTTGAGGCTGCCTTGCACTTGGTGAAAACCACTGTGCCCAAGTTCTTCCACTACCAAAAGCCAGGAGTCTCTGACCTTTGGAGGAGAAGAGTTCTAAGACCCATGGACAGCTGGTATCTACGCCTACTATGACAGGGGTGATATCAGCAAAACCCCTTCTATGAGAAGCAGCAAGCAATGGGCGCAGGGCCAAGAATACCAACCAGACAATGATGGCCAAGCCAACTATGATGCGCTCAGTGGAATAGATTTGCATAGCCTTATGGAAAAAATGCGCAAAGGCAAGGGGCATGGAAGCCTGTCCTTGGTAAAAGGAAAAGGCCAGAGTAAGAAAGGCAAAGGCAAGGGAGCTGGCCCATTGGCCTTTGAAGATGGTGAAGTGGAAGAAAAGAGTGAAGAGCAGCAGTGGAAGGAATTGCTTTCCAAAGCCAAGAGAGCCAGAGATCAGGCGGCTGTGGTCAAGGATGATGTTGAGGCGCCCTTGCTAAAGGGTTAACCAAACAAGCAAAGGGTGACACTGAGAGCATGCTGGAAGGCTTGATGAGGAAAGTCAATGTGGTGAAAATGATTTTGGCAAAGAAGGAATAAGCTATGACCCTCAGCAAGGCAAAGCAAGCCTTGGTCGACGACATGAACAAGACAAAAGAAGCCAAGGAACTCAACCAGCTGGCAAGGCTTGCAGCAAGGCCTCCAAGAAGTGACGCAGTACAATATTTCCTTGTTAAAAAGAAATTTGTGAGCACTTTTTGTTCCAGCAACAAGCTCTTCCTTGCTACAAGGGAAAGCCTTTGCTTATGTTATGTTCCATTTGCCTTGGTAAAAGGCTATGTGGATAGTATCAGCGTGGGGTCTCCTTGTTAAAAGGATGACCAGGCTAGCGCTAGCAGCAAAGAATGGGAAAGCAGCTGGGAACCACCCAAAATCTAGCGCTGCGTTGCGGTTACTGTTTGTTTCTACAAAGGGTGTTTGTGTTCATTGTAAATACCACTCACTTCTGATTTCAGTCCAATAACACAACTTGTTTGTTTGTGTTTGGCCCATGCTTTTTGAAGCCTTGCTAAAAGGTGCCTTGCTAAGAGGCCACCAAAAAGACTGAGGGGTTGGAAGGCAGTGATGGCTCTAGCAAGTGGTGAGGAGCAGAGTTGTCCATCATCAACATCCTCATCGGCATCCAACCCCTTACGCACCAGATTGCTTGAACTATGGTCTGTGGGTCGACTTTCTGCCACACAAGTGGCAGAGATTGGCCATCTTGCTATGCTAGAAGGCTGCAAGTCAGCTGACATTGTCAAGTTAGCTAGCTGTGGAAACTTTGGGCAGCAGAAAGGGAATGCCCACAGGGACTTAACTTAATGTCAAAATGTTGTAAAGGCATCCAGCTCTACGAACCAGTGCCAGTCCAGGTGGATGTCTTGGATCCCAACACCAGGCATTCTTCAAAAGAAGACGCTCGCGTTCCTTCCACACCTGGTTTTCAGCTCCCTCTACACCCACTATCCAGAACAATTTGATATGTTATTTTGCTTCAAAGAAGCTCGAGCCTTCTGGAAAGGGGTGGAAAAATCCAAGGACCCAAACTCTTTTCCTCTAGCCCTTGGTAAAAGGATGGCGCAACTCACATGCCCAATCTACGCGCACGGGGGTGAGTCGAATTCCAGAGCAGGGGTAGCTTGATGACTTGGTCATGGGGCTCAATGTTGAGCAAAGCATCAGCACTGCATCAGCATATTCTTTTGGCTGCCTTTCCCAAAGTCTTGCACTGTTGGTACAACATGGGCTCCATCCAACGATTGGACTAGTTGGGGCTTCGGTGCCTTTTGTCAAGGCAGGCATCCCTCCAAGGACCCTTATGGATCTGCATTGCCACAGCATTTGGCTGACGTGGCAGGCCAGCCCTTCACAGCTGCACACCAGAGAGTTTTCATTTTTGCTATTGAAGGGGACTTGGAGTTTCGTAGCAACTGCCTGCAATTGCCTCACTGGCAGAACAAATTTCCACGCGCTGAATGTGATGCACAAAGGCCAACTTTCAAAGGCATCAAATGCCCTGAAGGCAAACCAGTGAAGGAGCTGAAAGAAGAGCACAAGACTACGTCCAAGCGATCCTTGATAAAAGGTTGGTTTTGCATCCCCTGTTTGATGTACAGGGGATCAGCGCTGCACTGGTGAGAGGAGACTCACTTCACATTGTTATTTGCTCCACTGCAGGGGATTCCACCCTCAAGAGAGGGGAGAGGGGAGGAGAGGGGAGGAGAGGGGCGAGGGGCGAGGAGAGGAGAGGAGAGGAGAGGAGAGGAGAGGGGGAGAAGAGGGGGAGAAGAGGGGGAGAAGAGAGGGAGAGGGAGAGGGAGAGGGAGAGGGAGAGAAGGAGGGAGAAAGAAAGAAAAAAACAGAAAGGCAGAAAAGCACAGAAAGAAATAAGTGCAAATAGAAAGAAAAGAGAGAGACAGAGAGAGAGAGAGAGATTCACGCCGCTCCGCGACCTTATACTGCAAGCGCAGATGTCTAAAACTCCAAAGATTCGACATTTGTTTCACCAGGGAGTGCACAATCAACCTGCCGAAACAGGATAGACTAACCATCCTGAACGGTAACAAAAGTATCACGAAGTTGGTGGAACCTCCAAGAAAGGATCGAGTGGACCTACATATCACCCAGCCTCCTACATTACATGTGGAAGCAGTGCTTCAACGGAAGGACTCTGTATGAACATGAGCCTGCTTGGTGTTGCTGCGCGAGAAGGTTGAATTGAAATCCCATTTTGCAGAGTCGCGCGCGGAGGAATTCATGTTTTGACGTCCAAGTTCAGATGCCGCTTGGAACTTGAACACTCAGGCAACAAAAGAAACTCGCAGCAGAACGATTGATGCAAGAGGCCTTGGAGTTGGTAAAGGAAATTATACATGGTACAAACTGTTCGTTGTTTTGTTTGGCAAACCTGTTTGTGCATAGGGCGAGGAGCCCTCTTCCTTTACAAGTAAGCCACAGCAACAAAGCCTCCCACCTGCAGGTAAACGAGGCAAATTCTGCAGCGATGAAGATCAAAGAGGCTCGGGGGTTAAGGTTTCGATTGTGATCATTGTGTTGCATTTGTGGGACTATTCAAACCACCAACAATATGATGTTGCAAAAGGAAGGACCCAGTTTATGAGTTCTCAAAGGCTGGGAGGTGAAAAAAGAGGCCATCCACTTTGCCAGGAGAAGATGTTAGCAGAAAAGCTGGAAGAACAGACACGTGTCTGCCGAGAACCAGCGGGTGACAAGAAGATGCGAAATAAATAAGCATGATTTGTTGAGAGGTATTTGTTGTGCATGAAGATTTTCCAAGAAGTATAGAACAACTACATTGGTGTTTTGTGGCGTTTTCTTTCAACAACTGCTGAGGAAAATAATTGAATACCAAGAAGGGAAGGACTTGCTGCCTCAAAACTGTATGGTGGTTTCAGAACGAATGCACATACTAGTTACAAAGACTGTTTGTTTTTGAGGAAATAAAGCTTTGATTCGTTCACTTCTCTCACATGCAAGCAGGAGCAGCGTGAGCGTGAATTGGAAGCAGAGAAAAGTCGTCTAGCTGCAGAGAAGGCTCGGGCCTTTAAAAACTTCAGAGCCCAGAGTCCATGCATTAGCTTTATTTGGGCGCTCACTGCCATCGGAGCAAAGATACTACTGGAAATACCAAACCTGACCAAATCCATGCATAACAGAGGCGTTGCTGCGCTGTTCCCTTGGGATCCGTATTGAAGTGGCTGTGACATGTCCATAGACCGTTCAAAGTCACAGTCGGAATCAGATCCACCTTGAAATGGTTGGGTTTCCTTCAACGTCGGCCAGTACCTATGTTGACCACAACATTGGGTGTTTTCACAACGCCGTCCGCCCAACTTGGATGGCGTGGATTGGCTTGGCCCTGCTAAAGTTTGCGCGCGATGCTCCAGTGAAGGATGTCCACGGGCAATGCCCACACTGCCCCGACTAGCTCCAAACTGCCCGTGGCACCCTTCATGCCAAGTACCTCCAAACACGTGTTCATTGATTTTCATGGCTGGCAAGACTGCAGCAAGGTCCCAAAGCAGGAAACAGCATGGTGCCGCGTGGTCTAGATAAGCCCTTCAATGCAGGAGCGGGAAACAGCCAGGCTTCGAGCCATGCAGGGAGCCCAAGTAAACCGGTGTTCGCTCATAAACTCTTGGTGTAAATCAGCAAATCGGTACATTGTTGTAATCATTTTAATGTATCTTAATATGATCTGTGTATGCCTCAAAAGGCAAATACGCAACCACATGGGTTTTATTCATAGTCACATGTCTTCGTTTGCATGCAATATTGTAGGTGGAATGTGCTGGGGCCTGCATTTTCCATTCGGCTGAGGGTAATTCTCGACAATGGTTTGGAATCACAAAAAGTTTTCGCATAATGTTTCCAGACCTTAGAGTTTGTTGGCGGGTTGGACAAATGTAATGTTGTTTCTCTCGAACCGTTTGTTTCTTTTGGCCACCACCAGGTCACCAGCACCACTGAGGTTCCGATTTCTACTTGATTGTTATCTATTGCTAGACTGTCTGGACTGCTAGTACATCTTTGGCACTGGGACTCTCAGCTGTTATTTTTTGCTCGTCAATTTGATTATCAAGGTTGCACATTAAAAATTGAAAAGTTGCTTACATATCATAACCATACATACATCAAACATCATTGCAACAAAAACACAAAATTCTAGCCCACGGGCGCCCTTGAGCTGAGAAAAGTGAGGTAGTTGGGATTTGGCATAGTTCAACGTAAAGAAGAATCCGGTCACAATACAATTCACCACTGATCCACTGATTTCCTTAAATTATGTTTAATTCAACGAGCAGCATGCTCTGTTCATGTCTCTTTGTTGCGCCACCATGTGCGTCGCTTGTCTCTACCAAGCTCACCCTTCTTTCATTGCAGGACTTCCTTGTCGTACAAATCGAGAGTTCCGTGACTTCACTAGACCACGTTTCTAAGAGATGTTTCAATTGCTTCAACAGTCAAATTTGTTTTCTGTGAATGTACCATAACGATTTTCAGCCGTAGCGCTCTCGCGGCTACGAGCTACCAAGAGACCATGTTTGAACAACTATTGACCTGCAATGTCAAGCTTTGGAAATGCTAGCTAAGCAATCAACTCCCGACTCAAGGATGACGGGAGACGCACGACGGTACAACGGTGCATTTCCGCTCTAGTACTTCGACTGAAGCTGTGGCTATTCCCAGCATAAGCGTGAATGAACCACGAAAAGAAAAGAAGCTTCGATAGGCGCTGCATCAAAAGGGGGTCTTTTGAGCCCGGACGATCAAGAGCCAAGCGGCAAACTCGAACATGCGTCTTTCCCATTGTTGCAAAGAACGGCAAAGCATCCCAGGCCACTAGTCGAAGACTTAGGAACCAGGGCGCGAACAATGCACAATGAAAGCACATCATGTGCACTGCCCTCTTTGGAAGCGGGGAGCGCCCTGCAAAGGAAAATCAGAGGGCTCCGAGGAAATAAAGAGAATGCACACATAAATTACACCGGCATAGACCCCAGATATAGCGGGTGTATAGGTTTAAAGGACCCACCACGGGCGGCTGTCGCCGCAGCACGTAACGTCAGACCAGTCCACCAATACGCGCAACTTCGAATATCTATCAGCTGCGTGCACCCACTTTGCCCAACACAGACCCAAGACTGCAAGATCGGCAAGGACCAGCCAAAGCTGTCCGGACGACATTATTATCATTGCTGCACAACACGCTGTCATGCACACTATCACAGCATGTCAATTGTGGCGTGACATGATCTCATCCCTGCCATGACATGATGTTATTCTGGGCATGACCTGATGTCCTCCCTGGCATGACATGATGTCACCCAGAAAATGCATTATGTCGCTCCTGGCATGACATGTTGTCGTCCCTGGCATGACATGATGTCGCCCCTGGCATGACACGATGTCTATCCTGACATATGATGTTTTAACCCTTCATCCTGGCATGGCATGATGTCATTCTGTCATTCCTGGCATGACATGATCCTGATGTCATCCCTTGCGTGACATGACGCCGTCCCTGGCATGACACGATGTCGTTCCTGGCATGACATGATGTCGTCCCTGGTGTGACACGATGTCGTCCGTGGCATGACATGATCTCATCCCTGGGCTCGGACATGACGTGATGTCATCCCTGGGCATGGCATGATGCCATTATGGTGTCACACGTCGTTGGCCCTGGCATGTCTCTCCTGACATGACATGATGTCATGACTGGCATGACATGATGTCATCCCTTGCATGACATGATGTCATGCTGCGCATACATGTGATGCCTGGCATGACATGATGCCATCCTGGCATGCCACGATGTCCTCCCTGGTTTGACAGGATGTTGCCCCCTGGCGTGACATGATGTCGTCCCTGGCATGGCATGATGTTGTCACCCTGGCGTGACATGATGTCGTCCCTGATGTCACCCCTCTGGGCACGACGTGATGTCATCCCTGGCGTGATGTCATCCCTGGCATGACATGATTTCACTCTGGGCGTGCGTGACGTGATGTCATCCCAGCACCAGCGCGCCACCAGCACGGCCAAACAATACGCCAATCCAGCGCCAGCACGGGCAAAACGACGCTACGCCGTATGGTTTTCGTTATTTAAAATGGTGGTGTGTTTTCTTTCATTATTCATTTCCATCAGCAGTTTTCACAAAAAGAACCGGCGAACTATTCGTGTGAAAACACACGGCCAACAACAGGAAATTATACACGATGGGTGTAACGAAGCTCCGGGGCGAAAGGGGGAAATCCAAAGTACGCCTGTGAGATGGCGCTCTGAAGAGCGTTTGTATCCACAACTGGGTCGAGTCCAGGCAGCCACAAACTATAGCCTAAAGGAACCAAACGCTTGCAGTGCTTGACACAAGGTTGTGGGACAAACTTTCACTCTAGATTGTTGCGCCAAGGCTGTGGAGACCTGGGCACAAAAACGTTTCATCAGGTAGCTCGTATATTGCTTGAGTCCTGGGCCAGAGAACTGATTCACATTGACTGGGGCAACGGCCCCAGCACTAATTGCAAAACCTATTTAGAGCTCAAGGCAAGAAATGTTTAGAGGGTAAGAAGGGTCCCCGTTAAGGCCCTCTTCAGAAAGGTTGCTCAAGGGGCATCAGTCAATAAAGGCCTCTCCAAAAGTTTTCCTGCAAACAGTCAAGGTTGCCCCACATGCCGTTTTGAACCAGGTTCGATGAGAAAGTTCAGGTTTTTTTCCCCAATCCCTTCTTCTGAATCAATCCGCCCATTTTGACTTATGCGAAGCATCTGCCAAACCATGTTTCAACACAGCTGCCAGCTGGTAACCTGCAAACTCTTCTGCCACTGCTTTTGGCTTGTGGCTGACCAGCATGCTGAGAGCCAAATAAACTGCAGCGCAAATATACGCGCGAACAAACCGTCAACAGCCAATATGTTTACATTTTTTACCCAGGCACGGCGCGCACAAAATCTACACAACTTAGAACATTCAAGTTTGATCTGCAACAAGAACTTGGAAGGTTATTTCTGGATTTGCTTCGAAGACTGATTTTGGATCTTCTCAGCAGACTCATTTTAGATCTTCTTCAAGAAAAGCGTGGGGTGAAGAAGATTGGATTCCAACCTGGCAGTCTCAAAATGAACCTGGCAGATCCAAAACATGCCACGGGTGAAACAGCAGTTCCCGACTTTGCGAACCTGACACGTGTAAGCCTGGCGAAGGACCAACCTATGAACCACCCGATTCAGACAACGAAAAGGACAATTACTGAATGTCCAATTCTGCGACAACGACGTGAGCCGAGCGCTGATGAAAGGGGTTGCAACGTGTCACGACCTATCGAAGAACGCATCATGATTGATGGGCCGGACCAGATTGCCAAATCATATATCGGGCCTGCTAGTACGGGAAGGTGTCCGAGTTCAAGAAAAACTGGCAGCCAGGAGACTCGATGTCATCTCGTCGCATTGAGGTGTTGGAGCTAGAAACAGTATTGACAATGATGGACATATATTGGAACTAACCGTCGAGCACTGCCCGCGCGACAAAGGGCAAACTCTCCAACAGCATCTTCGGCGGCCCAGATCTTCGCTATGGGATGGACATTGGAATCGTCCATCAAACATCCACGTGGCCATGTTTTTAAGGAAGTGTTTTTGTGTTCTTTGGATTTTTTCACCTTTAGTGGTGCTGTAGCTTTCTGTTGGCGTTTGGTGGCTTGTGTTGGCTCTTCGTGGCTTTGATTGGCTTTTGGCTTCGGCTTTTGGTGGCTTTTGGTCATTTGGTGGCTTTTGGTTTTTGGTGGCTTTGGCTTTTGGTGGCTTTTGGCTTTTGGTGGCTTTTAGCTTTTGGTGGCTTTGGCTTTCGGTGCCTTTTGGCTTTCGGTGGCTTTTGGCTTTTGGTGACTTTTGGTTTTTGTAGCTTTTGTTGGCTTTTCGTGGCTTCACTCACTGATATGGATGATATATTTTAGTGTTTTTTGTGTACATATACAATATAATATATATATATACATGTATATTATTATCTGTGTGTGAGAGCCATCCGAATGTAAATTTTCGAAGACGCAGGAGGCGCTTGAATGTACCACCAGCCGAGGGTAAAATTTAAGAGGGTGCAGGGGCCAGCCCAAGGTAGCAGACCTTCTGTGAGCCGCCCGAATATAAAATTTAGAAGGGGCAGGAACCACTCCAATGTAGTAGACCTTTTTGTGAGCCATGCGCGGGAAAGATTTTGAGGAGGAATGGACCATTCCAATGTGGCCACGGGGTTCTCCTTCAAGAACGGGTGCAAAAAAAATATCCAACCATCATTTTTACCATCATCTCAGACATCCCATCATCATCATGATCATCACCATCATCATAATGATCCACCAGTGCAAACTGTCATTCTTATCATCACCACCACCACCATCATCATCATCATCTTCTTCTTCTTCTTCATCCCCATTATCCTCCTCACCGTCATCGTCATCATCATATGAAGTTGCAGAGATGATTGTCAAGGGTCATCATCTGCGCCTGCCGCAAAATCAGCACTTCCAGTACGCAAAGCGCCGCGCCTGCCACGAAATCTGCAACTGAAGGTCCTCAAAGCGCTGCGCATACCACGGAATCACCATATGAAAGCGCTACTAGAAAAAACACAAAAGACAAAAAGGATCCTTAAAAAGATCGTCGGCCGGCCAAGGCCACAGAGTGATTCAAAGGACCATCTACGCACTCTATGAGTCTCGCTGTCACGGGAATTATCTAGCCCACTTGCATGTTCTCTATTTTTCCATTACAATCCGTACCGTGCAAACCAATCTGCCGGAAGGGAGCAAAGATTCTTTGAGGCAAGAGAAAGCACAGGACAAGGCTGCCGAGATGGATGCTTTGAGAGCCAAGCGTTGGGTGCCCAAGAACGGATCATTTCAAGATCAAGAAGTGAAGAGGGTTTCAACTCGGATGTTTGTAAAAGGGTGAACATGATGTTGAATGGGGTTTTAGCCTGCTGTGTTTCGCACGGCTCAGCTCGCTGTGAATGTTGTGTCGCAGGTGACAAACATGTTCGTGCTCAATTTTCATGTTTGTTTTGTCCTCGGCCACACTTGTTCTTTCGTTGAACCCTCCAAATTCGCTCGGGTTAAGAACCGCGAGATCAAAGCCCTTTTGTAATTAAAGAGTCAGCAACCATTGACGAAATGTGTCCTGGAATTCGGGAACTTGTTTTGTGTACAGGAATGTGATATTTTACTGGAATGATTTAGTGTACATATGTTCCAAAGTCCTGCTACCTGAACCTCATCCTCCTGTGGTTTTGTTCCCCTCTTCGTGGTTTTGAACAGATCTGGGCAATGTGTTGGTGTGTTTTTTGTCCCACATTACTGATACGCCTTTTTAGATCTATCCACCTCTTTTCAATTTGTGAATTGTTCATTTTTGTAACAATAGCTGCGTGTTGCACCAGCCATGCTGTGTTCATGGCAAGCGCATAACAGCAGACATGTGCCCCTGTTGTTAGTCCGCTTGAGGTGCCATGGAAGCTGCTGAGCGCACGGCGCGGCAGAAGGAGCAGGCTGAAAAAGACAAGCACGAGCAAATGAATGCTGATTTGAAAGAGGCAGGAACGTTTCCTGAGCCGGACAATAGCTTAAAAAGGTGGCGCTCGAGGTGGTTGCGTGGTGGTTGGTAGGCAGTGCTGGCGGTGATCATAGGAGCGGTAGTGGTAGCCGAAGTAAAGTGAAAAATTCCTGTTGTAGTTGGGAGCGGTAGTTAGGAGAAGTTGTTGTCGTAGTAGTGGAAGCAGCTGCAGTAGCGGTGGTTTCTGTAGTGGCGGGTGGTAGTGGTTATCCTAGCAGTAGTTCCAGGACGTTCGTTTGGCAGACAGAGGTGTCTTTGAGGTTTAAGCGTGTTTGATGGAGGAGAAGAACTCATTGGCGTCTTGTTTTACGTCCAGATGTAGGTGTCTTGCTAAGTTTGAAAATGTACTTCAGCAGGTTGTGGCCCGTGGTTGAACTGCTGAACTTCATTGCAGTCTGAGACAAACCCAGCGACTGATTATGAGCACCCTTCAAATCATCAGATGGTGGTGGTCAGGTGTCACTTGCCTCCTTGTGCCAGGCTCGGCTCCAACAACAGGCAGAGAAAGAGCGGCGCTTGGGTGAACAAGCTAAGTTCGAGCGCGATGAGTTCGAGCGGATCATCGAGGCACCAAGGATTAAGGGTTTTTTGATGGTCTTTGTTTTTCTATGTTGAGTCATGATGAAGAAGGGCAATGATTGCAAAAGGTTCTAGAGGGGCTTGTAAATGGCTTGCCAAGCCTGGAAACATGTGTTCATTCGTGAGTGCTTCAAACCTGAATGCTGGGGAAGCTTCCGTGAAGAACCCTCGTCATGATCGTCATGTTGATTTGGTTTCTAGATTCAACGAGATCCTTGCAAAAACTTACACAAAACTGTTAATGGTAAAAGCATTAAGTAGACCTGTCTCTTTTCTCTCCCTTTTCTTCCTCCTTTGCGAACATTCACACGCATCAATGTGTTCGCCCTTTTCCAAGACGTGCTAGTTGGAGAACCCAACATGAGGATTCGCCAATCCGGGCTGCTGATAGCTAAATTGTGAAAAGGGGCTGACCTGGCAATGCAGACTCAATGCAGACAACTAAGGGACAATGTGTCAATCACGAGAAGCAGGGTCACTTTATCACAGCGTTAAATTCTACAGTAACTGATTATGTCAGCAACTTACAAAACTGTTAGGGGTGTGCTGGACCAGGGCTGGTCTTGAAGCCAGCCTAGTCTTCGTGGGGACCGCCCACAACAAGGGGCCTAGGTGCACTGTGGTATATGTTTGGATGAAGGATAAGATGTCCGGAAAGATTGGGTTGACAAGAAAAAGCACATAGATTATAGATTTATGATTTTTGCAGCGATTGATTCTGTTTTGTGGGCCATGCAACTTATGTTCTGCACGCGGTGTTGTCACTTTGGGTGACCAGTTTTGGATTGCATGCGTTTTTTTGACTGCATATATATAGTCTTTTTTGGACTGTGCATAGTGGTTTTTCATGTATGCAAATGCATTTGGGGCTCCAATCAGCTCATCCAACATGGATGTGGCTGTCAACTCCTACTTCATGTGGAAAAGGGTGCTGCAGAAGGCCTCATGTCTTGGGCCATCCTGCTTTGTACCCTCTGGACCCTTGAGACCCCCTAGGCCCCCTTTGGACACGCTTCCTGGCAGCCACTGCTTGGCTTCACCACACAGAGAGTCTACCACACCCCTACAAAACTGTTGAAAAACTGCAAAAGAAGGGGGCTACATTCATTCGCCAGATGTTGCAAGCAAATAGCTTTTGTGTTGTGCACCCATTGTGCGCCCATGTAGCCGCGCCTCAAATATGCCTAGTTGCGCAGTTGCGCAGGCCTGATTTCACCAAGATCTCCTCCTGTTGGCTCACCAGGTGCAGATGCAGCAGGAGGAAGCCGAGCGGCAACGACAAGCTGAAGAGCATCAGCTACGATTGCAGCATGCGCAGGACACTGTTGTAGAATGGTTGTGCTTGCAGATGGGTGGGAAGGGTGTGAGTTCCAACTTCCAACACTATGGCAGAAGCGGCCTTCCCCAAGCTGGTGACACACTTCCTTGTTGGAGTGATGTTTTGGCTGTCAGGAATTGCGTCAACAGATCGCTGCCCGCGAAGAAAAGGCCTACCAGGACCGGACAGTCCGGACAGTCACCAGGTTCCGATTTGATAGAACACGTGTCCAGAAAGAAGGCTGCTTACGTCGCATGCCCAGGCGATGAAAGAGTCTTTGAACGTGCACTCATCACGAAGCTTGGGTGAAGCTTTTCGTGGAAAATAGTGAAGTAATGATTGAATCCACTTGGATATGGGACCCTCGGCACCAAAGCTGACCTTGGTTGGTTGGCTCAACCCCTCTCGCTTTTTGGTTTGAAGTATTGTAATCAGTATTATTGCGCTTCTCGTGTTGAAATGTGTTTTATGTTCTTTGTGGTGGTGCACCTTAAGTTGCGATATGATTGAGAAGTTCCGGACAAACTAGCCTCTATTTCTATTCACATCTCCTGAGAACTTGCAACCTTATTGAGCATCACCGGATTTCAGTGGTTCGCCCAGTGAAACAAGTGCAACTTGTTTGGGCTCTCATGCAGGAGCGCCGAGATTTTCTGGAAGAGGGAAACGCAGTCCGTGCATCCATTGGCAATGAGCGGAAGAAGCAACTTGGCAGCTTCATGGGATGAATATTCCACTTTAATCATAGTCGAACCATTCTTACCATGTTCCATGACCTTGTGCCAAACTAGAGCGATAAAGACAAGATGGCTGCTGTTAGGCTTGAGAAGATCAAAGCCCGCAAAATCGACGAGCTCCAAAAGAGCGGTGTCCCCGAGAAGTATTGGGCAGAACTTGCGAGGCGCTCCCGGTCCCTGGAAGCGTCCGAAAGCAGTCACAAGCAGAAGTAAATCCACATTTCACATTTGATTCTTTGCGCTAAGTATATTGTTTGTTCACTGCACAGCTGCAGGGTTCTTTGGCTGGCGTGTTTTTGTCGCTGCTGCGCTAGGATTTGTAGAATGTGGTGTTGTTGGGGCATGTCTTGTGGAAGTGTTGCTTGAGGTTCATTTTTCCTTCAAGGTTCCCCTGAAAAAACATCCCAAGAGATCTCAAACTGTGTTTGGTTTAGAAGAAGAACCAATGAGAGCACATGTGAGAGCGCAGAGCCTTTCACATGCAGACAAGTTATGCAGCGCGAGACACGGCCGGCAGCAGCGGCCGCGGCGGCGGCGACGGCAGCGGCAGCGGCAGCGGCAGTAGCAGCGTCAGCAGCAGCGTCACCGTCAACGTCAGTGTCAGCGTTGCGCCAGTCCAGGTTTTCCCCCGAGTAGTGACGTCATTGGTCATGAACGAGCCATCTCGTAGAGCATTGTGCTGATCCAACTGCAGAGAGCTGTCGCACCTCTCCAAGCCAACCAAGCCCTCGAAATCCTTGCGGTGCCCCAAGGAACAAGCAATGTACTGACGCCAGCTCTCCGTGGGCAAGAGGTTCAGCAACCGAGTTGGCGTGGTCAAAATGTCCCATTCGCGCCAGTGAAGAAGATCGAACTGCTCGAGCAGGTAAAAGCCAGGATCCAAAGTCGGAGAGCGCTCCAAATGTGCAGAGATCCCCGATGGCATGAAAATGCCCTTGGGCCTAGGTCCATAGAGCTCTGTCCCAGAGTAGTCCAAGACTTGAAGACGCTGAAGTCGCTGAAGGTGGACTCCAGCAGCAGTTTGTCATTGCCAAAGGCCCAGATAGCTCTGCAAAGTCGCGGTCCCCTGAAAGAGGTGGCGAAGCTCAGTTGAGATCAGATCAAAGTTGTCCACAAAGCTAAGAGACCGATAATTGGGAGAGTAACGTTGCTGGGTTGCTGGTACACGTCATAGTCATAGATCCAATCTACAATTGTCATCCCCAGCATGGAGGGACCACTCCCAGAAATCCAGGTGTGGACCTCAGCGGCGGGCCTATTTGGCCATGAAGAAGATAGCGCCTGTCAAACAAGAAAACCTGCCACGGTCGAAGCTGACGCAGCCAGCTAAGGAGGTATGCTCCGGCGGGGAAACCTCCATCAATGCCTGCTTCTCTTTTAGGAAGGAAACCCCTGGCATTTGGTCCAATGTGGCATGCCAGTTGATGCAACACGGGGCGTGATTGTGGGCTAGCTCAACTGCGATAGAATATACTTACTAACGATGATGCTTGGCCTGACATGTTGTGCTCCTCACCATCAGGGATACCGAACCGCTGCAGCATCTGAAGTGGCCATTGGCCATTTGGCTTGCTGAGTGTGGACATGACAAGACTTTGATTGCACGTGACTGGCATTTGCCGGGCGTCATTGGAGTCACAACCGTCCGGGCCCTGGCAAACGCAAAGGATGCGACGCCAAGCCTCAGTGGGCAAGTCAGCGTGCCTTTGCCAGCGTGGGTCCACGTATGTCCACGTCCAAAATTCCGCGCTCTCAGATTTGGGCAAAGCATGAATGGGCTGAACGGCTGAACCTCAGATGAACGAGCCACCAAGAATGCCAAGCGTGAGTTCTCTTGTTCCCAAAAAGCATCTCCGATGCTTGGGTTTTCGTTTAGTCGCTAGTGCCGCAGAAGAGCGAGACAAAGCGTGCGTTGTCGGGGACGGAAGATGCATTTGGAGGTGGACGGGGTTGGGAAGGGAAGAGGGAGGGGAAGGCAGGGAGGGGAGCGAGAAGGGAGGCGCATGGGTGGGGACGGGGCTGGGGAGGGAAGATCATCTTGCGGCTATGTGCGCCATATCTGACGCTGGGTAATCTGGAGGACCAGGTTCTGTCCGCCCGGCGCGCATTACCGACACCACCCTTGAAAAACACAGCGTCTTTGCATTTCTCCCTCTTCGCCGCGTCCCCTTTCGGTATACGCAATAAACCCTGTAAAACACAGTGTTTTGTGTACCTCAGCCGCCAGCTCCCGTCTCGCTCCCCTCCATCTTCCCTCCCGAGTCTCGT